TGCTGGGCAAGATGGAGGAGAACAGTATGCCGTATGGGCACAGTGCGGAGCAGAATGATAGTAGAGAGTTTGGTGCTGATGGACAGAGGCAGCAGCAGCATGTAAGGAATACGAGTCGCACGCATTATGGAGGTGGGACGATGCCTGGACCACAGTATTTGCTTAATATGCATCCGGGGGTGCCGGTGCAGGTTAGTCGGATGTGAGCATAGAAGGGTTTGGGGTTCATGATTGTATGATTAGCATGGCGTTTGGGATGTTGATATTGTTTGGGGTCTGTGTTATTGATGTCAGTTCATTTTGGGATATTTGGGAAGCGAGAGATACCATGGAGCGTTGGGCATTTTCTGGCGTTGGTCACATTCCTCATTAGTTAGTTTAAATCATATCGTCATCGACAAGCTAAATGTGACGCTTAGAACGTAATCTTCATCGTTATATATCCAATACAGCTTTCTCGCGTCCGACTTCAATCTTTCGCAACTTCCCAGATGTTCAGCGAGCAGCCCAGCCGGGAACCTTTGCCCGAAGATAAATCCATTCCCCCTCATCTATATCGCCAACAGACATAGCGCCCAAAAGCAGATGGGCGTCACTGACATCGCCGAAAACAACAGGGAGGATCTTTGGGCCTTCAACACGAGTGTACTGTCCTTTGGGCCCTTTGAGTGGTCTGATTGTGATGGCAGGCCAGCAGTTCTCAAATTTCGGGTCTTCGTAGCGGCAATCGAGCACGGCCAGGAGATCTTCTTCGCTACGTGTTACTAATCTGCGCCAGGGACCAGTCGATTTTCGGATGCGGAGTTTGATCTTCACGCCGCGGTTTGTGCATAAGTAGTCATCTGGCAGCCTCAATTCGTCGTCGAATCTGCGGTTGATGATCCCGCTCGAAGCGGCGAACTGGCTGGGGTGACTCGCAAATACCGAGGTAGGGGTTCCACGAGGGTATGGAAGGGGTTCTTCCCATGCGAATAGGCTTTGATCTGCGGAGAACCTCATGATTTCCTCCTGAAGCCGAACAAAAGCCTTCTTTCCTTCACCATACAGCAGTGGCATGTTGACGTCAAAGATGCCAAGGAGTGAGTATGCCATATCTTCTATTCGTGTCGTTGTGCGTCCAGCCATCCAGCTCATTCGCTTAGCCACACTCTCGTCACTTAAATCGCTTTTACCTGAAAGCACGTTTACGTCGATACCAGTGATGCGCTCCAGTTCCACACACAACGAGCTCTTTTTGCCAAGGTATCTCCATTCTTTTCCGTAGAACCACACATCCCTCGGAGCCAGTAACTCCTGTAAAGTCCATCCCCGTGTGAACCATCGCGACCTCGCCAGCTGGTGCTTGTCTTCATCGGATATGGGACCGTCAGCCCACGTTTCGGACTCCACATTGAGATCTTCGAGATAGGCGTAACACCACGCCGCTTGTTGATACCACCGAAACATGCTGTTGATGGCTTCGCTCAGCTCTGCAGAAGATGTCTTGTCGATACAGCAAGTATCCACCCACACTAGGGATAGACCGTCGCTCAGGGCCTGCTGGCAGACTTTCATAATCTTCCAGTAGCCGCGGTTGCTTTTCAAAGTGCCATCGTTTCGCAGTGACTGGTCTGTAAACTGCTGCAGAGTGACTTCGTCCTCGCCCCACCTGTGTGAAAGAATGGCATATGGAGGTACCAGATCCTCATCCATGAATACCAGTAGCTTAAGTGTGGTGGCGTCAATAAGTCGCATGGTGTTTTCCGGTACTGTAAGTTTGAAGATGGGACTGACAACGAGGTGACGTGGTTTTTGGTGAGATTGCGATGGTTGAGCTAGGCTGATGCTGCCTAGTAAGCTCTGCAGAGGGGCTCACGTTGGCAGCGCTTACGCGCATCGCTGCGCGTCCCAAAAGCACATGTACTGACTTGATAGACCGAAGAAGCGGTTGGAAACTACAGACGGAAGCCAGGTCTGAGCTTTGATCTCTGACGATACATGCTAGACGAACGACCTTCGGAGAAGCTCGGGTAAGCGCACAGGAAGCAGTCATCCGGGCCTACAAGAAGGCGTCGAGACATCGCGCAGTAGGCTGTTGCATTAACATTTCGAAGCTGGAAGTATACTTTACTTTCTCGCTAGGTTCAGTGGTTGCTTTGCTTGGTTCGGCGAATGTTTCACGCGTGCGACATGTTGACAGCTAAACTTCAGGGTCCGGCCCTTCACGTGACAGATGACGCGGCGGCAATCGTAATGCACGGCTGAGGCACCGCCTCCTTCATCCTCCTGATACTTTCGTTCTGCAACACCTCTTCGCCTTTCAACCTTTGGAACTTCCTGAATACAACCCACGATGTCTCCTAGCAAGTTGGGTGTTTTCGCCCATTTGGCGCTGGCCGCCAGCGCCGTGCTCATCCCTTCGACCATGACGAACGTGGAAGACCTCGGGGACGACCACGCTTTTGAGTCTCTCGCCATCAACCCCAGCCAGCGATCCGTCGCGCTGGAGTGCCCTGGATGCGCCGTTGCGACCTTGGATGGAAAAGACCTCAAGTGGAAGTCTGATGTTGGGAGTGCCTTCGTACGTAGTCGGCTATATGCCTCACAGCCTTGCATGCTAACAGCCAACAGCGCCTGGACTTTGACGTCGGACCCCATGGAGACGCTTTAAACCTCGACAACGCCCAACTATACCCGCCATCGTTCGGCTTCCCTCCCCAGCCTTACACTCTCACACAGGTGGACCCATCTACAAAAGAGGGTCTACGTCTGCAAATCACCGGCTATGAGTTCCGCTACGACGGCGCAGAGACTATCTCAGAGGAGGGCACCGAGCTTCTTCCGATGACCTTCCAAATCACCTCGGTCGAAGGCACCACTGTCAATCCTCCTGCGCTCCAGATCAATGTTCTGAAGAACTCGGAGGGTCGCCTCATGATCGCATCCTTCAACGAGGCTGAACGTAGCCCGGCCACACCATCAGACAAGGAGTGCAATGAGTGGCCGCTTTACTGCAAGTGGAAGAACATCATGGCCGACCGCATCGAGCAGATCAAGGGCATGCGCAAGCCTAGGCCCGGCTGCCACAAGCGACCCCATGCCGGTGCCCGTCCCAACAACCCCATGGAGCATGAGGGCATGGCTGGAAAGCCCCCGCACCGCTTCCGCCCTGGCAAGGCTCACCCGCACCACCACCCTCACCACATGGGCCAACACCGCCACCACGGCTTCGCTAAGATGGCTCGTCGCGCCTTCTTCACCATCTTCGTTCCTATCCTCATCGGTATCTTCGCTGGTACACTCACATACCTCGTTGGCATGGCTCTTGGATGTCTCATCGCTATCACCGTTGCGAAGGTCCGTGGCCAGCGCTACCAGCCGATTGCTCTGGATGAGGAGGATGTGGAAGAGGCGGAGGAGCGCGGAGAGAAGGAGGAGTACGCCGAGCTTCCCGCATACGATGCTCCTCCTGTCTACGAGGAGGCTGCCGATGAGGAGGCTGCTGTCAAGAAGACCGATGAGTCAAAGTAAAGCTTACTCTAGGCCTGGAAGACGGTACAAGTGGCGAGTGGATATGGTCATGTCACGCTTCTGGTTAGATGGATAGTTTGTAGCATGTCCCTCGTTTATAGTCCGTGTTGATTAGCTAGCTCTCGCAATGAATCTCTTTTTGTTCACATTGACGGTATTGATGCATTGCTTTGAAGTGCAAGTCTTACTTTACTCATTGCTAACGCTTGAATCCGAAATCTAACGATCTCACTGCTGCTCCATAATGGCATCCCTCTCCATGCAGATGAAACCCAGCGCAGGTAGACACGTCTTGTGGCACATGCTTCGTCCCAACATGACCACTGAGGACTTTAGACGGCAGCCGGATAAAGCAATTCCAGGCAACAATACGGATTACGTGACTCATACGTTCGCATTGGAAGGCATGCGCATGAGCAACCAGCAAGTATATCTAAAGAGTGGGACATGACCACTCAACGATAGGTTGCGACCGATATGACGCATATTTCCGTCTGCATCTTCTCAGAAAGCAGCAAGTAAGGGTATGATATAAGCCAAGTCCTGGTTCATTGAAGTATTAACATGTTGAAAGAGTTGAAGAGTCTGTGACATGGCGGTGAAAGCTTCGAGTAGATGTTTCTGGAAAGTGAACGACAAACATGATATATAAACTTTAAGAGACAAGAGCAGACAGAGTAATGAAAAGAACCTTCTCCGGAACTGAACGCGTCTTTGCTAGATGCTTGTTGCGGTGGTTGGTGTAGTTTGTGCACAGCGTGAACGCGTCGTGGAGGGGTGAAGAAGGCGTGCCATATTCGATACAAGACGCGCAAAACATTGTTCGATATTTCAAGAGGTTCTTTATATATTCAGTCGTCTTCCGATAAGTTTGCAGAGGGTGCAGCACGTTGTAGCCGCATGCAGGGCGATTATCGCAATCCGAGGTTGGTGTTCCAGTCGCGTCGGCAGGCCGCGATTGAAGTTCCCGCACGGGCCATTTCGCCGACAGCTGCATCAGCAGCCCGGCGCGCCTGCAAGCTTGGGTGGGAATTGGAAGTGCTGCTTTCCACGCTTTTGATTTTCCCCCAGATGTGAAGGCGCAAGGCCTTTGATTTCATGTTCTGACTCGACCCGACCGGGCCTAGCGCCACTCTGTGTGATCTGGAGGCACCCGCGCCCGCCGCCCTCGTCTATATAACCGGCCCACCCGCGTCTTTGGAGCCTTTTCTTTCTTCTCCTTTCGCATCCCCCAGCTTTCATCTTCATCCACGCCATTTACGCTGCACCAACGCGCGTAATATACCAATACCCATCACCTTCATCTCCACTAACCTTCCAACAACATGACTGGACGTAAGTACATCTTTGTTCCTCTTCCATTACCCTCGCATCGACGTTGTCGTCGCTGTTGCCGCTGCTGCACATGGCGGTGAGGCGCGCTTGGTGTTGAGGCTCAACGCGTCGCCCCACTCATGCACCGCGCATCACGACACTCACACACAACCACCATGCCGTCGCGGCATCCCTCATTACCACAAGACAACATGCTAACATAGCTCTGCAGGCGGCAAAGGTGGCAAGGGTCTCGGAAAGGGTGGCGCCAAGCGTCACCGCAAGATTCTTCGTGACAACATCCAGGGTATCACCAAGCCCGCTATCCGCCGTCTCGCGCGCCGTGGTGGTGTCAAGCGTATTTCAGCCAGTAAGCATTCCCAACCTCGTCGCCATGCCAGACAAGTCCTAACATGACCGCAGTGATCTACGAAGAGACCCGTGGTGTCCTCAAGACTTTCCTCGAGAGCGTTATCCGTGACGCCGTCACCTACACTGAGCACGCCAAGCGCAAGACCGTCACCTCCCTCGACGTTGTCTACGCCCTCAAGCGCCAGGGCCGTACCCTCTACGGTTTCGGTGGTTAAACATCTCTTCTCGTCACGACACATCGGCGCCCGGCATCGACGGCTTCTTGCGGCTTCTTGGTCGGGGACTGTCCGCATGGTCACACATTGTTTATGGATATGATCTGGTCACGGCTATCGGTCTTCACGGCGTTATGTTCATGGGTGGTTTGGAAATGATCAATATGAAGCTTCGATCTTCATTTGGCTACTTCAGTCAATGCATACATATTCATGCACCTTGCTGTCCAATTGTTTTGTTCTGTGACGTTGACTCATGTTGTGCCGTCTTTAACTCGAGCACAGCTTATCGCTTACTATACTCGACAGTATCTGACTCTAGACAAATCCCCTTCCACCTTGGCATCCTCCGACCGCCATCTCGTCAGGTCCACTAACACTTCTCCACGTTGGTCGCAGCCAGAGCCAAGAGGTACGCTTGGGTAACCACATTAAGCTGGTCAAACGGCTGTCCACTCTTCGAAGCGAGTATACCTTGGCGACTGATGATCTCGTTGTACAAGTTGCGATTCTCAATGTGAACGTTGCCAGTTCGAAGGATAACCATCGGTACGATCTTGACCTGGCCGAGTTCAGGAACATGGACCTTTGCATAGCCTCTAGCATGACCACAATCCGGTGGAGGCACTCCCACAATCACACCCTGGGCACCGGGGAATATCTCGACGTCTCCAGATGGACTCTTGTAATAGTGGCGTACTTCATAGCCGAAACCTTCGCGTATGGGAGCAAGGTCTGGGTTGAGGTTGGAATGGGTCCAGGGCTGCAGGTCGTCTCGAACGTCTTCCCAGAAGGTGGTTTCGGCGGCGGAGGTGTCGATGAAGCGTTCCACGGCGTTTACTCTTATGGGGAACGCATGCTCGGAGGGGATGAAGGCCATGTTGGTTGGGTGCGCTGTAGCTGAGATTCGTCAGTATTGAAGAGCTGAAGTGGGCACTGATGTGGAAAGAGGAATACCTGAGTGTGTCGTGAGTGTACTTATTGGGATTTTGACGTAATGTTGTTGTGAGGATGTAGATATGAGCATGGTGTATATAGTACGCTGATTGAGCAAGAGCTGATTTACAGCCTAGATGCGTCGAGGAAGGTAAAGGTACCTTCAGGCGGTGCTGATTCGCGCGGCACAAATTCTTTTGAGGTAAAGTAAAGGCAGCATACACTGTATGGACTTTTCCATACGCTATCCAAGTATGTCGTTCAGTGCAGTCTACTCACTTCAACTGTCATTCCCTTTCTGGATCCAGCTTCCCACCGCCTCTTCCACCTCTTTACAGCATCCCGTCACCCCAAACAACCCTCCCTCAACCCTAACACTCTCCAAACTCCACCTCTTCAACTCCTCACTAACACTCTCCACGCCATCCTCCACAACCAGCACATCAAACCCCCTGTCACTTGCTTCCCGCACCGTACTACTCACACACGCATCCGCCGTAACCCCACAAACCACCAGATTCTTCACCCCCTTCGCTCTCAACATCATGTCAAGTTCTGTATGCATGAACGCCCCTCGTCCAGGCTTATCAATAACCAGCTCCCCCTTCGCCGGCCTCAAATCTTCAATAATCTCATGTCCCTCCTCACCACGGATCAAAAGACGACCCAACGGACCCTGGCTACCTATCTCTGCACCGTTGACCCGACTCCGATGTGCTTCTCGACTGCTGACTGTTGCTAGCGAGGGATCATGACCTTCCCGTGTGTGTACGACGGGGAAGCCTGCGCGGCGGAACGTGGACAGTAAGGATGCGATGCGGGGAACCAGTGGCTCGAAACGTGCTAGAGAGTAGCCTTGTGAGGAGAGATAGCCGCCTGGTGAGAGGAAGTCGCGTTGCATGTCTATGATAACGAGCGCGGTTGTGGTGGGATACAGGGTTGAGTTATGTGGCCAGGCACACGGTGCCGTCGTGGGGATTTGAGACGTCATGGTCCTTTTGTCCCAAAATTTATGCTAACGGGTGTATAGCAGGAACGAAATGATGCTATGATGAGGCGACGCACTATCTAGGTACGATGAGTGTTGTAAGATGTTGTGATTGTGGACGTGTCGTGGTTCATTTGTGCATACATCGCGTCGTCAAGGTTACCTACATTCACATCTCCGCGCGGCAGTCTGTTACGTTCGTGTATTTCTTGTATTGTCTTGAGTGATCCTATCGCGTCGGGTTGTAATAGCCGGTTATCGGGATCGGCAGGTACCTGTGCATCTCCACTCCTTCCGCAACTGCTCCAATCCTCACGCCACAACATCATCGCAATACTTCCTTTGTACACATGTTTGCAATCCGATAGCGAAGAATTTAACTCGACGGCAAAAGGCCGATGGATGTTCTCAGCCGCATACATACCGCATAGCAGCCAACTTATCTCATCTACTGTACCCCACTTCTACCAGCACCCCGGTTGCTCCTCATGCCGCTTCCGCTCCCTATCTCGACCAATCCACTCCACACGCTTGATGCGCGATAAGACATGTACGAGATGCTTGGCGGTTTCCCGAAATGGATGCACAACCTGGGGCAGATGCTCGTTATCTAGATGACGCAGGGTTCGGCCGTTGACGGCGCCATGTCGTTCAATGGCTGCGAGAAACGGGTTTGCGCGATACCCGGACAGGTATATGTATGCGGCTAGGTAACGCTTGAACAATCGCTTCCGGGCTGTTCGCATGTTCACAGTCGTCTCTTGACCTTCTTTCTCTCGGTTTTGTGATCATCGAGATGGTAGAGATGGCGCACAGCCCAGAAGAGAAGAAGATCGTGGAGGAGGCCAACAGCGACGATGATGTGCTGGCGCAGCTGGGATACACCCAAGGTAAGTCCATAAAGTTATAATCGCGAACTTGTACTGATTGCGTTCACAGAGCTGAAGCGTAGCTTTGGTCTACTTGGGATGGTCGGCTTCTCGTTCAGTATTGTGACTTCATGGACCGCACTCTCTGGTGTACTCATCATTGGTGTTGAATCGGGTGGGCCGCCAGTCATGATCTGGGGCTGGCTGTGCGTCTGCCTTGTGACACTTGCTGTTGCGTACTCAATGGCTGAGATGTGTAGCGCGTATGTACACCTGTGCCTGACTATATGGCCGAGCTAACCGTCTCTAAGGTACCCTGTTGCAGGTGGGCAGTACTCTTGGGTAGCTATTCTGGCACCGACACGCTGGGCTCGCTCGATGAGTTATCTCTGTGGATGGTGTGTATTCTCAAGATGACTTCCCAATCACTTCCTAACATGAATAGGTTCATGCTGATCGGAATCATATGCATGGGCGCAGTCAACAACTTCGTCGCTACGAACTTCATTCTCGGTACCGCCCAGCTCAATTATGGCTTCACGATAGAGCGATGGCACACAGTACTCATCGCTTATCTCATCACTTTCATCGCAGCGGCATCTAACATCTACCTGCCACACATCCTTAACAAGCTTTCGAAAGCGATCTTCATCTGGAATCTCACTTCCTTCGTCGTCTGTCTCATCACCATTCTGGTCACCAACGATCACAAGCAATCGGCGAGCTACGTATTCAGCGACTTCGAGAATTTCACCGGATGGAACGCGCCATATGCTACATGCCTGGGGCTTCTTCAATCAGCGTTCGGAATGTGCTGTTATGACGCACCTTCACACATGACCGAAGAGATCAAGAATGCCCGGAAACAAGCTCCCCGCGCGATAGTCATGTCGGTTTACATTGGCTTCTTCACCGGATTCGTCTGGCTAGTCGCATTGTGCTTTTGCATTGGCGATCTCGAGGAGACGGGTGCTACCGCGACAGGAGTACCTGTCATTGCCATCATATTCAATAGCACGAACAGTGTGGCCGGAACATCTACATTAGCATCTATGATCGCTATCATTGCCACAGTATGCGCCAACTCGCTCATGGCAGAGGGATCAAGAGCTGTATACGCGTTTGCAAGAGACAACGGGCTTCCTTTCTCGCACGTACTAAGCAAGATTTCGACAAGATCGGTGCCGGTATACGCTATTATGTTGACAGCCGTCGTACAAATGGCTTTCAACTCCATCTACTTTGGTACAACGACTGGCTTCAATACCATCATCGCCATCGCCACACAGGGTTTCTACCTCTCGTATCTAATGCCCCTGCTCTCCCGCATTCTCGCCCACTTCTCCGGCAAGAAGACTCGATTGGAAGGCCCGTACTCACTCGGTCGCTGGGGCATTGTTCTCAACATTATCGGGTTTTTGTATCTGGGTTTCATCTGTGTCGTGTCCAACCTACCTAGTGTCACGCCTGTGACGAGCGAGAACATGAACTACACTTCTGCGGCGACAGGAGTGGTTATGTTCATCAGCTTGATATTTTGGATCATGACTGGAAGGAAGAAGTTCACTGGGCCTGATGATGGGAATCTGTTGGATGTCGGGAGACATGTCGCGTAGGCTTCGGGTACCCCGCTCGGTGCTCTTTGTTGTAAATCGGTGTCTCAGCTTTGACATGAGAGGATTGAACAATAGCGCATCTTCAATTATCATCTACTCAGCTCTGTTGACATGCTTGTGAGTCACTGTGACGCATAGCGCAAGGGTCGAGCCTCGCTACCGCCTGCGGTTAGCACAGGGTCCACGCACCTGCATCCAGGGATCGTTTGATGATTACGAATCGATACCACAGAGTCCAACCCCACAACACCCTCACAGCTTTTGGCCTGACAAGAATCCCCTCGCAAGCCGTCTCGCTTTGCCGCCGAAATACAAGGCGCGCACCATCTACGACTACCTCGGGCGACCAGTCTCACATCATAGACACACTGTTACACCATGTCAAAAAGAAAGAATCACCGCGAAAAGGCAAGACTCAAACGTCGACGGGAGCTTAACCAGAAAGGATACAACATCGCCAACACAATCGAATGTCGGACCCTGCGGAAAGGAGCAAGGAAACAGATCGCACGCGAACGCGCTGTAAGACTATGGATCTATCCCTGGATCATGGCTCCGACAGACCGATTTCGACATTCGTATCCAAAAGCCAGTCTTCTCGGCCTGCCTTCCGAGATTCGCCAACAGATCATCTACGAAGCGTTCGGCATGACGGAGCTAAGACGCATGGTTGAGTACACAGAGAACAAGGGAGCTTTGGCGGCAGCTCTGACCAAAGAGAAGGCGCAAAAGCTGAAACAACGACGAGAGACAGCAATGGGTATACCCATGTCGCAGTTCGAAAGCGACTGCATCACGATGCTACATCGGCGCATTGCTGACTTCTGTTGTGTGTCACATTTCTTACACATGGACATGGAGTATGTGGGAAAGCTATGGAAGAAAGATCTGGAGAAGTCACTCAAGTGGCAGTTCTCGGCGCCGCTGAAACTGCACAAAGCGCCTACCCAGGAAATGGTTGACGTTCCGAGACGAACAAGGGGAAAAGTGGTCAAAGTGAAGGGGCCGGGCAAGCATGCTAGGCGACCCCCGAAGTGTTGGAAGTGTGAGGAAAGACATCACGACAGAGATCCAGTCTGTCCGATGGCGAGATATGATATTGAGAAATGGCGGCGACTGACGAAGAAGAAGAATAATAGGGATGACTGGATGGATACAACGCAGCCATGCTCGCTGTTCGTGGGGACAAAGATAGTGTTTGCCGACGACTAGGTGGTTGAGGTAGGTAGAATGGAAGTTGAAATACAAGCCGGGAAGCTATCTTGTCGCTGAAATAGTCAGAATCAAACTTGAAGTACAAGCCGGGAGGCGGCATTTCGCTACAGTCCTTTAAAGAATGACTGTGATACTCAATGTAGTCCTCACCCATATTGTGGACTATCGCGCGCACCATGAGTGAACGCAAGTCGTCTTCACCTTCACTAGACCGGAGCTGCTCTTTCCAAGGCACAATAGCCAGATACAATAGCAGGAAGCTGAATTCGTGCCAGCTATTGAACAATAGCACTGGATTGGTAGTTGCCATGTATCTTTCGTCCTGAGGATCTGCTTCCATCTCTTGCTTTCTCTCCAAACCCTACTCACAACTACATCTTCATACTCACAATTCAAACAAACAACTACCTTCAAAATGGACGGCGAGAAGATGGAGTTCGGCAAGGAAAGCGACTACTTCCCTTTCCACTTTTTCCCTCCCTCCAAGCCCCTACCCCCCGCTCAGGGACCGACTGGCGCTGGCGCCAAAATGAGCTTGAGCTTGGATGTCTTTCCGGGGCCGGGGGCTGGGGACAAGGGCGCTAACTCCGGAAGCGGTGTCTTGGCATTTGCGACAACAAAGCAAGTACCCACGCTTAAAGAGAAGGATTTGTCGCGACTGGTGGAGGAGGAGAGCGACCACAACATGTCGGGGCAGGAAGAATCTGTGGAGCAGATCAGGCGAGACCGCGACGAATACAAGGAGTCACTTGTTCGCGAATACGACCGATACGGCAATCTTGAGTCGCAGCACGATCGACTCAAGGAACAACTCACAAAGTCCAACAACGACCTCGCCGACCTACGGCGCCAGCGCGTCGACACCACTTTCCAGCTCGATCAAAGCACTTCGGAGCTTGCGCAAGAGCAGGAGAAGACCCACACCCTCGAGACGCGCAACGCAAAACTTGCCCAAGAGCTCCAGAAGAACGAGACGGCCCTCAGCGAGGCCCGCAAGCAGATCGAGAATCTCCACGCCGACGTCCAGCAAGCGCAACAAAATGTCAGAGCCGCCCTCGCCGACCGCGACGAGTACAAAGTGGAGCTCGAAGACTTGAACTTGCAGTTCAAGGATCTAACTGCGCAATGGCAGGAAGGAATGGAAACTATCGCCGAGCTGAAGGAGACACTCGAAGAGCACATCAACTTTGAGGAGAAGAACAACCTCCAGGGCGACATCGCTGAGGCCAACGCCGAGCATGAGCGCATTCTACGGGTCGTCGAAGTCAAGGACGAGCGCATCAGCCACCTCGAGTCGCTGTTGCAGAAGGAAATTGAGCGCAACCGTCACGAGCTCGACGAGAAGGCTCGAGCCGCCGCTGCTTCGCCCGTCGACGATGACCGCCACATCGGCAGCATGGAGGGTACCCTTGAAGCAGAGCTCGAGAACTCCGGGATCAACGACGATGATTGGATCGCAGCCGATGCCAGCGACTACGAGCCTTATGTGCCATCGTCTGCCTCCGAGATCCACGTAGCCGCCAGCGTCGAACCGCGCGATCCTTCGCCAACATCGCTGTCCACCAGCCCCGTTCACCAGGCCGCCAGCACCGAGCCCGAGGCTGCGAAGTCGCCCATACAAACCGTCGACGTCCGCGAAGCTGCCAGCACCAAGCCTGAGACCGCGAGGTCGCCTACACAAACGCTTGAGGTGCGCGAAGCCGCCAGCAGCCCGCCCGCCGAGCCAGCGCGCATTCCGCTCTCCTTCTACAACGTGCGCGACATCTTCAACTGCGCCCCGGAGCAGCCTGTTGGTGCGGTCTTGACTACCAGCACGCCAACTGCCATCAGCACCGCGCCCATCGAACCCACTCGCGTTCCGTACTCCCTCGACGACGTGCGCCGTGTCTTCAGCTATTCGCCTATAGAGCCTGCTGGTTCGCCTTTGGCCCTCAGCCCGCAGAACATCACCAGCACCGAGCCCATTGAACTCGTGCGCCCTGCGCTCTCGTTCCGCGATGTGCACAGGATCGCTAGCACTGAGCCCATGGACGCCGGTCGCGCTGAACTCTCGTTATACGGTGTAGAAGACATTGCCAGCTACGCGCCAGTAGTGCCTGCCGAGGCGCGTTTCGCCATGTACGAGGAAGAGATTGCGAGCCTTTCACCCCGCAGTCCGGTGCCTGTTGCCTCTACACTTTTTGGTGACGAGATTGCCAACTTTGCGCCAAGAGAGCCCGCCGTTCCTACACTCGCGCTGAGCCCAACTGAATCTATCAGTACGAGCCCAGTTGCGCGTGAGAACTCCACCGCCGAGCTCTCCACCCAAACTGACGCACACGCAACCACCACCGAGCTCTCCACACAGACCGACGCGCCTGCGCTCACGAGCCAACTTCTTCCTCAGGCGGCTCTCGAGACGACGCCCGTCGAACCCAACACCCAGGTTGCCATCGCCAAGCCTACCAACCGCATCACTCCCGTCATGGTCACCCGCGAAGTCAAACCCGTCGAGCAGGCCCTTCACCAGCCCGAATATCAGCGCCCAGTCGCAGCTTCGTCCAAGAAGATTGGATTCATGGGATGGATCCCCTGGTTAGTCGCGATCCTTGTGGCGCTTTACGCACTCGTTCAAGAGGCCGAGCTAGCTGCGTGGAAGAACGCGAACGGTGTCGGTTTCGGCGGTGGCTACGGAAACGTGGCTACTCGCAGTGGAGCTTACGGCAATGGTCGCCACCTCTTCGGCGTCATTCCCATCGGTATGGACATCGGCGGTTCGTGGGTGTCCGAACAGATTGCGCGACGCATGTCTGCGGCCATCTCTCTCCTCGAGGACTTGGCTGGTATCCCGATCGAGCCTCATTACTGAGCTTGCTGGGCACAACTGGCATTTGGTATGAAGACTCGCACCTTCGACAAACCTTGATGATCTACCTAACGCATCTCACCGCTTGCCGTCCATCATCAGTCTAACGACATCTACGACTTTGTGGGAAGATCACGTTTCGACAGCCATTTACGACCAAGTTGAACTCTCCAGCAGCGTTATAACCGTGCTTACTTTAATGCTTTTCCTTTCTTTCATTGCTTCACGAAATTGCATACCCGGAACAAAATACCCATTCCGACTTTCCGAAAAAAGATGTGCTGGGACACAGCATCTACGACGGCGTTTTGTTTAGGCTCCGGCCTGTCGTTCCAGCGAGATGGACTGTTTATACCCCCAGATACCCCCCTTGACCTTTTGCTTCTTTCTGCCAGCTGCGAGCAACGAATGGACATGTAACCTCCCGCCGCGGGATACGATTTGTTTACCAAACCTGCGGCGGACTTGGATACGACGTCGGCAGTTGCCCTCGAAACGAGAGATACGATTACGACTTCAGATAGCACATTAGACTAGACTATGATGATTCTTCACGCCCAACAGAAATCCCCAACCTCGTCTCAACGTGAAGCCCGATTACGCGTCGTGAATGCCTCAGCTCGACAGGCAATGTCCAATTGTTGGCTGGAGTAATTATCTCGATGATGGGACGGTCGTCCTCCGCAAGCCTTCACTGGAGGATAATGGACGTGATCCATCATCTCGGGAGGAAATGGAAGAATGCGAACCCGGAGTTGAAGAGGACACCGTTGCTTGGTCAATTCATCAGTGCCCAATATCACGCACGGCAGAGTATCAGGCAGAGTATTATAGCGGTCGGATGAATCATGAGCCTAAAGATATTCGTAAGCGGTCAGCTGAACAGAGTGAGATCGTCGCGACCGGAGAAGGTATCCTAGATGTGTTGCGGGAATCGCGTGAACTCATGATTGTGATATATGCTGACTTGGTATTGATATGATACTACTGGTACTATACTACATGGTCTCTACTATGTCTATTGCGCATCATTAACGCAATATGTACAGATTGTCAGGTACACTGAGATGCAATGCATCAAGAGAGATACATACGATTACCCCCACGCGCTTATATCTTCGAACGCAGTTGCCGGGAGTATTCGGGCCGCTCGTGACAACAGCGGAAGCATCAGCGCCCAAGGTGACGGTCGACTGCGCGGCCAAGCAGCGGAAGAGCGCATCCTTGGGTCCGAGATGGCCGGACTGGGATGCACTGTCTATGTTGGGATGTTGGGGACGATGAAGTAGATGAGGGACATGCCGTGCGAGGTTTGGATGGGGTTCAACTGGTGGGTCGGGTGCCCTGACACCGGCGGATGGGGATGCAACGGAGAAGAAAGAAAGCGGTGGGTACCCTGTTCCACCATAACAATGTCAATTAAGCGGAAGGAATTCAGATGAAACTCATTGAGAAAGTGGCTCGAGGCGCAATGGCCACGGCCGCACGTCGTAGCACGACAGTGCCGTGATGGCTGGATGTCGGGCTAACGCCTATGCCGATGCTCCTACTCTTTTCGTCTGAAGTTCTCGACCACGAGAACAAAAGCCGACGACTTTAAAGTTTAATCTGACAGGAACAAGTGGAAATGACAGAGACTACTACTAGTAGTGAAGATATAGAGTTCCATCACGGTGGCCATTGCAGAATCGGAAGGGTGCTGGCTTGGGCAGCACGGCAGGCTGCGTGCAATCAAGAGATGCGCATCATTGAGCGTCGCAGCATACATGTGGTGACACGAAAACACGTGCTGTGCTGGCGGAGCTGCTGGACCTGATGGGTGCCTGACGAAGATTGCGCTGGAGCGGTAGGTCTGGAATTTGGACTAATGAGAACCAGCCACGACGAGGAAGCACGAGGAGATGGAGCCCTAGTGTGCGGTAGAGGGAAGTGTTCCTACTGGCAGCCCGTGCTTGAAGGCTCTGCACGCTCGAGGATAGGCTTGCACTCCGTTTTGGCCGCGGAGGCGATGATGCTGTCACGGTAGAGTGAAGAAGCAGTGATAGAAGACGGATCGTCGTGCACGCTGCTGGGCTCGGCCGCTCATGAGGAGGCGGCGCCCGAGAGAGTGGCATGTTGGAGCGGCGGCAGCGAGTCGGTGAAGGCTCTCTGGACCGACCGACGCTGGGCGCACAACGTCACAGATGGCCGAAGCGAGCGACCAGGGCGTGGCCTTGGTTGTTGTTGGGGGTGATGATGCAGGGCTCACCGGCGGACAGGTAAGAAATGTCTGTAAAAACACCAGCGGCTAGCCCCGAAAGCCTCTCCACACGCCGGCAAACCTTGAAGGGCTCGTCGAGCAGTGCAAATGGCTTTAATTTGCCCAATCACGGCTAGCAGCGCGCGCGGTAAAGAAACAAGTGCCTGCTGACAAGCGACGATGCCCGTTTGCATCACCGTCGCTAGGGCTCAGAAGGGTCAGGCTGGTCTCGGGCACCCTCGCAGTTGCTGCCCAAGCGACGCCACCTGAGGGCTGCCCAGGTCCGTCTCCACACCGTCGAATGCGCACCAGACGCTCGAGCTATGGAGACTGCTGGCCCATTCGAATAATTAGTTCGGCTGCCGACGGTACGCCGCTGTTTTCGTCTTCTTTTCTCTTCCCTTCTGCTGCTTTCCCATCGATCGCATCTCGACAGAACCAGCCTGCATCAACGCCGCCAAACCAGTGTCACAAGCCTGCTCTCAGCGTGCTGCCCAACCGCTTGACCTGCATCACCGCCATCACCCCAACGGCCAATCACCCCCCGCTCCCGCTGCAAGCCATTCTTCAGTTGCGGCTCCTCGACTCTTTGAGCACTCAGTAAAGTACTCTTCCCGTCGCCCGTACGCTGCGCATTGTCTGCCAGAGTGCGCATAGTGCTTGGATCTTAGTTCCCTCTACTTCCGAGTACCTGCTGTGACCGCCCCCACCAGGAAGCTGCATCCAGCCACGCCGTCAAGGTCCACTCTTGTCACAGGCCAGACCCCCCAAGGTGCCGGTATATTGGTCAAAACCCCGCTTCTGCGTCCTGCATCTCTGAACACCTCCCTCCTGGACTCTTTCTGGACACCTCAGCCTCGGACTCCCAGGACTGCTTTTGCCCGTATCTTGGTTGCCTAGAGCCCCTCCATCTTAGCTCCCATAGCTTGGCCCCCATTCCAGGACTGACATCACTGTCATCTTTCTTTTCATCCCCTTCACACACGCCTCTCAATAACCATGTCGCGCGCAAATCAGTGGTTTGTGCCAGGCGATGGCATCGCGAGAGAAGTCATCACCGCCGACATCCAGCGCTACCTGGGCCCAGATGCGCTTGTCAGGCCCGGCACAGGCACCGGAGAGTACCAGGTCCGCACATGTCTCCTTGATGCCAGTACGACGGAAAACTAACTCTCTCACAGGGCCAGCCAGGCTACTGGATAACCGCGTACCGCACTCTCACTTCGGTAGGTTGAGCCGTCGGACGGTGCTCGCGCACTTCGCTAACGAACCCCCCAGCAAATGATTCAGGACTTGAAGATGGACTCTCAGCGCTGGCAACAGGAGCGCCAGCCTGGCGACGTCGGACGTGGAGGTAGCCATAGTCCTCAAGTGCGCACTACTAAGGTATCTGGGGGCTCTAACGCTTCATTAGTCGCTTACCAAGACTCTCGTACACATGCTGCTCGTCAGCATTGGGGTCCGACAAAACCGTATGAACACGGTGCGCCCAAGTCGGCGGCGGATCCCTATGACCAGCCACCCCGCCAGTCGTCAACGTCGTCTAGAGCGACAACGTATGCGTCTTCAGGCTATGGTAGCAGTGATCCCCATTATACCACGACTCCCACATCCGCGTATGGAAGTTCGCATCCAGGATACCAGGCTTCCTCCGTCTCCGCTGCTCCCAGGACCCAGCCAGCGGACCCGTACTCATCTTACCAACAGCCCAGCGGACGGGATTACCCTGCGCAGTCTGCTTATTCCTCTTACCCAGCGCAGACCCCAGACCCCTATGGACGCCAGCCGGCCACCCAAGCGACCCAGTACGCTACTCCAAGGTATTTTGGTTACTATGACGAACCCTATTTGGTCTATCGCTAAGCCCCATTAGTGCCACAGCAGCCGCTCCTGGCTACTACATTGCCTCTGACGGTCGTCGTAAGTCATTGCAGTCGTTGCGCGACTCCACAACTAACATTTCTCCCTCAGAATATCCCTTGTCGCAACAACCTCAATCGTCACGCAATCCACAGTCTGGCACCTCTAGGTACAGTACAAGATAGAGTCCATCTCCATTGACGGCCTTGTCCTTGTTCCTGCGTCGATATACCGAACCCGGAGATACCCCTTCTTTCCAAGCTACTGGATGGTGCTCTGGAGTCTGGCCACTCTAATGTTTTAATGGATCCATCTTCTACCCTCTGGGTACCGTAGGGAGTTTGCCATTACCAAAAGCATCCGGACAGATTTGTTTCCCTGGGACTTAAGCCATGGACCCATACCTCTCCCAGCCTGGCGGAGCAGCCCACAGGAGCATTTACTACCCGGATTTTCTTTGTTTTTGATCTTATGTACGTTAATTGGGAAATTGGGTTTCGTTTCTCATTCTCCTCACACGACTGGATCTTTGCTCTGCGGGATGCGGAACCAATTCCTGCCATGGATCTTCCAGCCTCCATCTGGACATGTATTCCGCTCATGGCTGTCATTATCATGCAATTGCATCAATTCCCCGGATTCTGCTTTTCTTGCTATGTATATACCTACGACACGGGCGTTGCTCCACGAAGTCGATGTTTACGAATGAACGGTTATCTGCCCATGCACAGCATGCGTAGAAGTAAACACCACTGTGCCCATCACATTGCTTTGATCCCGCATTGGATTGCGGCTGGATGCTTCGCACCCACTCACCTCACTGACATCACCACACTGACGCTTCGTTCATCGTGCTTGACAAGCTATCCCCCTCGCTCCCTGGTGAAGTCATCACAATCTAGGTTGTTCTGCGCCACCGAGTCACTTCATGCAATTCGCCTCAATGGTACGATGACTAGCATGGGCGGTGGGTTGATCTCGCATTCTGCCTCTACCCGCCGATCGGCACGATTATCACCACGCTACGGCAATCTTCTTGCGCCATTTTCAGCTGCCCCACGTGACTATGCAGATCTCATGCCGACACCCGGACTGTGCCTGCCAATATTATGCTGTGCGTGCTGTAGAGGAGCTCTATGAGCTCCTGATAACTGTGGCATGTTCGTGTCGATTGAATTCTGTGTACATGTGGGTACAGATGAACACCTGCTTGCGTGCATTGCCGAGGTAGATCTTGCCACCACACCGACGTTGCACGATCTGCATACTTTAGGTGCGCAGATCCCTAAACCTCCCAAGCTGAAAATCTGAAAAAAAGAAGCTATCCAAAGTTTGACGACCTCACGAGCTTCGCCTCCTGACGCCACAAGCTCAAGCCGATGATGCAGCGTGCAAAATCTCGCGAGCTAGCTATCGTCTTAGCAGGTGAAGCGGCTCGGCCCATTCTAGAACCACATTGCAAAACCACTCTGAAGCTAGGAGTATAGTCTTGCGGAATCGTTTACTTCCACGACGATCCTCTTGCTATCGCTATAAGGTTTTTAACTTTTAGCCGTGCTATCTAGTCACCTCCTCGGAGTGTCTGGTCACCACGTGTTCTCACGAGTCAGGATGTCGCTTTCCACGTCGGTGACCAGATCCGAAGTTTCCTCCGCTTGGCCAAACAATTATCCGGGCCTAACACATCCGCAATTGAACATCAACGCCGAAGGGCACCGTTATCTCGCAGTAGCAAATGCCGAACCCCTCGGCATCCACCAGCGATAGCGGAGATACTCCCGCAATTTCGAGCTTGGCCCGTCGTCACAAACAGACTACATCATGGGCGCCGCCATGTTGGGTTGCAAACCTTCTACTACTCTAGCTCTCCACGACATACACCATGATAGCGTTCCCAAAGCTCTGGGTGGCTTCGACACTCCTAGTCCAACAGGTGTTTGCAGGCCGTAATTTACTGCCGCGTAATGTAACGGAAACGTATGCGACGGGCTTGTTGCACGAGTCGATGGACTGGATGGATATGTACTATGACAACGAAAGAGGCTATCTTTTCAGCTTGGACGCGGCTGCCCTGACGCATGACACGAGGTCGAGCGTCTGGTATGCGGCTGGCTTGCTGGCGCGGAATGAAGCCGATGATGTGGAGCAGGCAGTACGTATCGTGAAGAACGTCATTGGAGGGCAGTTCAAGAACGAGAGTGAGCAGTGGTGAGTTTGGTAGTCCGAAAACACCTTCTGGTGTTTCTGTAGCTACCCTTGCTGACATAACCCAAGGTACGGCGACTATCAAATCTATCCAGAAGAGCCGACTGTGGGTACGGAACAATACCCAGCTGTCATATACAACTCATGGGATCCTAATTGGCGTGGCTTCGTCGGCACAACCCTTGTTGTTATGCTAGAAGAATTCCCGCATCTCCTCCCTCAAGATGTTCAAGATTACATACTGGAGAGTCTGTTCAACACTACGATTGGAGATAGCTACCGTGTCGGCGGCGTCGACGATGATAACCTCTACCCGGCCTACAGCAACCCCTCTATCATGAGGGCTTTTGTCTCCGGATACGTTGGTCGCCGCGCCAACGACTCCAACATGACGACTGCAGGCGAAGCCTACGCGAAAGAGGTCATTGATCTGTTTGTCCGCGACAACACGCTTTCTGAGTTCAACTCTGGGACGTACGCTGGTGTTTCGCTGTTTGCGCTTACGCTCTGGGCGAAGTATATGCCAGGTGATAGCATAATGGGCGAGTATGGACCGAAGATGATCCGTGATACATGGTCGGTATTGGGTGAGCTATATCATGCGGATTTGAAGAATGTGGCTGGGCCCTGGGATCGCGCGTATGGGTTTGATATGAACCGGTATCTGAGTATCCTGGCGCTGCATATGTGGACGATTGTGGGCAAGGAGATGGCGCCTATCAACAAGAAGGTATGTACTGTTCTCTCTCAAATCACATCAGGATTGGGTACAACTCGTGTTGCAGTATACTCGTCTTAGCAACTGTTCACTTGTTAAGATATAGCAGTATGTACACTGCAAACTCCGACACGGATTCTAGCCATCTCCAGCGAGGGAGACACAAAGCTAACGATTCGAACATAGCCATATGCCATGGGCCACAAGAACGACTTCGCAATCGGCCCCCTCGTCGCTATCCTAGCACCCTACCACAACACTCTGGTCCCCAACACAACTCTCTCATCGCTCTCTTCCTTCCCCGGTACCCATACCGTCCAGACTTCCGCCTTCTCCCCACCATACGATACCTACCCACGCAACATAACCGCCTACCTCAGCCCCAACCTAACCATCGGCGCGGAATCCTTCTCGGAAAACGTCGTCGGCGGCCCGTCCATCAACAAGAACTCGTTCAACCCCGCGGTCGTGCAGTGGAAGAGACAGGATGGAAGTGTGGGTTGGATGAGTCTGTATGCGCAGACTATGGCGCTGGATGTTGTTGTGGAAGAAGGGAGTCTGATGCTCGAGTACCCGATGGGGAATTCGTCGAGTGCGTTTTCTTTCTTGGTTGGCACGAATGGGTGGGATGGGAAGAGGGATGTGAGGGGTTGGAAAGATGTAGAGGGTATTGACGTTGTGGTGTCCGGGTCTGTGGATTTGGAGCCTGAGGTTACGTTTAATGGGCTTGTTGGCGGAGCGGGCGAAGTCATAAAGTAAGTTCCACGAGGATCGTCGCGTGTGAAGAAGGAGGCAAGAACAATGGTCGTATGCTAACATGATACAGCGACTTTGAGTTTTGGAACTTTACGTATAGGATGCCAGAGGGGAGCGAGGAGGTGCCGCGAGTTCAGCTCGACTTCGACGTCGTGTGGTGAAGTGAAGGATCGTAAACGTCAGACTACATCATTAGTTTTGGCAGTCGTGTACCTTTGCAGAGGCAGAGCGAGTGAGCGCATCTATTTCACGAATGCATCCGGGGCTCAAGAAGAAAGCATTCACTTCCAAACAACGTGTCTTCATTCAAACATTGACTCGTCGTAACACTGCACATGATCAACTCCCTCTTCCAAAGAACAGCTTGGCCTGCCCTTTCTCTACCCCGTCTCCTCTCCCAGCACCGTTTCCCGGTGGCCGTCCCCGCCCTCTAGAAGGTTTCGAACCGCCAGCACCTCTTCTTGCAGGGGCCGGTGCAGGATTCCTTTCTTCCTGCCGCATTTCCTTCGACAGGTCGAGGGCAAAGTGGTAGTCTTCGTGTTCTGCCTTTTCGGCTGGCGGGAGGTGGAGATTGCAACGTGAGCAAAAATAAGTCTCGGGTGGTCTTTGCGGTATGGAGGGTCTAGCACGAGGAACCGGCGTTATTGGGTCGTGATGCTGTTCTGGTGGGGAATGTGACGCGGGCTGGGGTTGGGCTGAGGGAGGTGTATCTGGTGGATACAAGTCCATGTCTGAACTGTGACGGTCTAATGGTGGTGTCGAGGGTCGCTGTACATCATCGTCTTGTTGTGCTAGGAAGGGATCGAGATCCTCTCCTGTTGCTTCCGCCTCGTCTCCACTCTCGTCCCTTGTAGACTCGCTATGTGCTTTCCACAACACAGCTCTTGCAGCATCGAAATCGCTTTTCTTCTCGTCTCTCGGACCGAAGAAATTAGCAATGTTGCCTTTTGTCCTTCTACGCTTTGCAGGTGGCTCACCTCCACCGATGGTAGCTCTGCCACTTGACATCATAGCCTTTGCTTCCTCGCCTCGAACGAGGAAGCCGCCAATTCCTTTATTGTTCGTGATGCCGTCTTCGAAACCCCCGACGCTCAGAGAAAGATTGGAGCAAGGCCACGCTCTTCCATCGACGACAACCTGAGCTAGAAGATTCTTGGCGAGGTCGAACAAGATGGTTTCTGACAGTGGTTTGCCCTGGGGTATCGGCGCTTGTCGACTTCGTGTCTGTGCGCCTTGACGATGATGCAAGTTGATGCTCTTGGGTCTTCTCTTGTTCTCCAGTACACCCTCTTCCACGCACCGTGAGAATATGTCCGCCACGAAGATGCGTAGCCACCTTACTCCCTGCTCGAACGAGTTGATGGCCGGTCTGAAGGATTTCGCTGAAAGCATGCTCTTGATCTGCGTACGCGGGTTGACCTCGCTGCTGTCTTCGCCTCTAATGATGGAGTATATCCAACTGCCGGTGTCGTCGCCTAGCTTCTTTAACTGGTCCAATGGCTGTTCCACAAGGTCCTTCACTTTGTCTGTCCCGAACATAGCGACTACTTCGTCTCCTAATTTACCTCCCAGCATTCGGATCTTGGTAAACTTCATGTCGGAAAGAAAGTGCTTGACAGCGCGATTCCGTATAACGGTTTGTTGATTTGGCTTCTTGTATCCTGACCCTAGTTTCGATAGCATCTTGTTCCTCGCAACGCCCCCAGAGCATGTGTAGCCCAACGTATCCTTGATATGTCTCCTCACATCTCTTACAATCTCGGATGCGATGACCATACACACGTCGTCCCAGTCTGGGTCTCTATCTTCTCCATCTTCCTCGCCTGTCTCGACGAGCGCATCGGCCGCCCAGTCCAACACGGTTGTAGGCACCTTGGGCAATGGCTCCGTCGGATCGTCGTACGGCGCGGGGCCTCTCAATTCGGGGTATCTCTCGAGCAATATGGTATGCACTTGCGCACTCAGATCCATAAAGACCTCGTCGATACTCGCCTTCTCGACGCGCTGTTCCTTCTCAGGCAGAGTTTCCTTGATGCATTTCAGGATCTTGCGGCTCTCCATGCGATATGGGTCCAGGCTGACTTTATGCGTCGCCATGTCCCTGAAGCTGTTCTCATGATATGCCCATGTCTCGTCTCCCTCCTTCCACGTCGCAACGTGTTGCAGTATAAGATCCGGGCATTGCTTCAACGCTTCGGTCGATGTGACGTGGCGGCTGAGTCCGAATGCGCGCGCGGGGTAGTTGATGGCGATCAGGCCCTGCCATTGTTGTACGGCGAGAGGTTTGGAGGGGTCGATGCCGAGGCGAACGGTTTCGCACTGCGCGTAGAAGGCATCAAGGTCGACGTGCGCGATCACACGGAGGGGCGTCTGCGGGCTGTACGTCTTGAGCTGATGCAGCTGTTTATACGTAAACTTGGATTTGGGAATGCGACGCGGAGAGGTGATGGAGAACTGCGACGAATGAAAGTCCGGCGATGGTGACGACATGCCGAGTGACGGCTCATATCAGAGATTGGGTCGCGTTGGAGGAGGGCGCAATAGAGTCTGCGAGGGTACTAGCCGTGTTGCATAGTGGAACTGAAGAATGCGATGCAGACGCGACACCTGGAAGGCGCGTGTTCCCGCGGTCCCGTGCATGCGCGTCATTCATCCCCGAGATCGCACTAACCAGATCGGATTCGCTGTTGGATCAACACCATGTCTGCAACTATCAATCAATCTCACCACAAGAATTGTGCTACCACTGGATACGGAACTACGCTGTCGCAATCGAAGTCAGAATCCATGATGAAATATCGACTACCAGAGTCCATCTCACGGCACACTCATGGCATTCTGTGATTATCAGCTGGAGCATGGCATTAGCATTATACAATTCCCAGTGAACACACAACGTTTAGGGGAGCGAATTTTGACTTCAGCTGTCCAAAATCGAACAGTTGGATGGTATGATCGTGCGCATGCGCTGCCTTGACGGTCGAGGACTTTGCATCACGTAGACGGCAGACGTATATGAACAGGCGATATATCGCGGATGATCTAAGTCTGACGCGTACCTGAAGATCAAGCCACGGCGTGCTCCAGAGCAGGGTCACATTTCGGTGATTGGCCGCGGAGCCACATTTCGAAAGATAGCAGCCGCAAACCAACGTGCAGCATGCAAGCACACGCACGCCACATTGCAATCGCAGTGACAATACAGAAATGACCCGACAGTCTCAGACGTGGCAAACAAATCCATGAATCCTTTTTAGAGTTGCTGCACTGCCATACCAAGGCTCTTGACATAGTCATTGACGTCATGGTGAGCCCTTGATCCAATAGGAACATGCGGCTCAAGCCTTGCGACTACAGCAGGGCGAATACCTAGGGCGTTGCTTTTAATCGAGCTGTATTTTGTCGTGTGTAACCTCCTCTAATTCCCATACATATTGTTACCGTAATCATGATCGCAAAGATGGAAGGAGCTAATGGACATGCGGAGTCTGGTGGAGATGTACCAGTCTACGCAATCGACAATGTACCCATTACCCAAGAAAGGAAACCATACATCCAAGGGAAGAAGTCAAACCTACCACACGCAGGTACGTACACACGACGGGCACGCTACTACTACGTTGTCTGCTAACCCACCATAGCGGTCGCACGTGCAAACCTCGCCCCGTCAGAGGAGACACCTCAAGGCAGCACGCAAGACGACTGGGCAAAGAAGCACTCGCACCAAACCGTACTGCAACAACACTGCGACTTCTTTGACCGCGACCACGATGGTATCCTCTGGCCGCAAGACACTTTCGTCGGCTTCTACCGCCTAGGTTGCGGACTCTTCTTCTCCGCCTTTGCCGTATTGGTCATCCACATCAACTTCTCCTATCCCACGTGCTCGGGATGGCTTCCGGACCCCTACTTCCGTCTCTTTCTAAACAACGTGCATAGAGCGCGGCACGGTAGTGATACAGGCACGTATGACACCGAGGGGCGGTTTATACCGTCGAAATTCGAAGAGATTTTCACCAAGTACGCGGAGGGACGGGATTATCTGACCGTGGGTGATCTGGTAGACGTATTGAAGGGGCAGAGAAATATCAACGATCCTATCGGGATGTGTGGATTTATCTTTGAGTGTAAGCATAATAGATTTCAAAAATTATGAGGGGGGAATGCTAATGTCGAGTAGGGACTGCAACGTATTTGACGCTCTGGCCCGAAGACGGTCGGATGATGAAGGTAAGCGATATGATAGAACCTATCTTGAGTTGTTTTTGATGCTAACAATAACAAGGAGGATATTCGCGCCGTATACGATGGCAGTATTTTCCAGAGGATCGCCGATAAGCGCGAGAGAAAGATGGAGATGCAGAAGAAGAAGAAGAGCCAATGATGAGCGTCGGCGTCTCCGATAGATCCATAGAGAGGGTCGATGTACATGCACAGCACGACTCCGAAAAATTCATTTCAAGTTCCAAAAAACGTTTGTCGAATACGTTGCGCTGTCCTGGAGTGTGTAAGAGTACCGCTACTGAGATGTCGAGTTCCACCAACCCGCGCCCAGACATGTGTCGTTCCGAAAGACCGGCCGAACCAAGCAGTGACATCACCAGTCAGCGCATGCCCCTGTCGCATCCATGGGTTTCAATCAAATAATCAGGACCTCACCTGACGATACTTGTACCTTTACGATAACACGCGCATAATTCTCGATTCGAAAATACAGATGGGGCTAGCTCGCAGGGCATACTACCCGCAGCCAATGGTACCTAGGTAGCCGTCTGGTCGCGGACACCTGCATATCATTCGTCCAGACCTCCGATCTAGCAGCTAGCACATAGCACGCAGAAGACTTTTACCATGGTGATCGCGATCGTGGATTAAAAAGCTGGTGGATGAGCTTATCCGGATTACAGTACTTCGTCAGGACTAGTGGCCGGCAAAAAAAGACCCATCGGACAAAGTGGGTCACGCTCTATGGTTTCTGAGCACACGTGAAGATGCGCAGGAGATGGAAACTACAGCTCTGAGCCAAAGCATTGAGGCCGGATGTAGCGAATTGCACAGTAACCAAAGAATTGTATATTGTATCCAGCGTTGCTGTAACCTCCACCTTGCTCCAAGTCCACCAATCCCTCGGCGCGTTCAAAAAACGATGCTTCGCCATGTCCTCGACGCCCTATCTTGCTGAGTTGGCTCAGCAGTATCGTTGGGAAGCTTGAGATCAGCCATAGTCTGCAACAGGCGATTCAGACGTTGTTCGGTCGGATCCGAGGTGATGGACTCTACGTTGACAGGGTATTCGCCATAGACGTGTTCCATCATCGACTTCTCCCTGTCATCTTCGTCTTTGATGTGCGCCCAGTCCTTGAGCAGCTTGACGTCTACCGGATTCATCTTGTCGCGCAAAATGCGGAATACGAGTTCAGATAAGAAGAAGTTGTGGCCTTGGTCGCGCAAGCCTTTGGCGCACAATATGAGTGTGGCTCGTGTAGCTTTCATTATGGCTGGGAAATGCTCTTGTTGCGCTTCCGGGGTGCGAAGACGCTCGATCGAATCGAAGCCTAGCTGGACGAGGACCTGGAGTAGGAATATGTAGTATGCTTCGAAACCGTGACGATGGAAGAACATGTGGAGAAGCGTCTGCAGACTCGCTTTCGAGGCGGCATACAGTTGCGCCGGACTGAAGCCTGTATACTTTTGGAATGCGCCACTATTGTTGGGCCAGTTGAGAGACTTTTCCTTTTCCAAGAACGGTTGGAAGGTCATGGAAACGAGGTTGTGGAACTGCATGCTGTGACCAAAACGTTAGTCATTTGTACATGAAAGGTGTGTCAAATCTCACTGTAGCAGAAGCTGTGTCGGCATGGCGGCATTCTGTGGCTGTAACGGTTCCGGAAGATCACGGAACCATTCTACCAGCATAGAATGATAACGACCGGCCTGCTCAATATCGAGATTGTTATCTCCATCGTCCTCTGGAAGAGCCTTTCCGGCTATGTCGTTCATGATGCATCGAAGCTTGATGAGCGACAGGAATGTCTGTCCCAGGTAGATGGGGGTCTAGTAGCTTGTCAATTTGGTCCATCATGAGGGGCAGCTGGGGACGTACCACGTGTGTTGCAAGAGGGTATTTGACCCAAATCTCGCCAAAGAAGTCTTGTGCGTCTTGGTACGTGGGCAAGCCGTCCTCAGGTGGAAGTCGAGACAGTGGGGGCTTCATAAGGTAAAAGCAAGAGAACCTGAACCTACATCAGAGGCGATCTCAATACTACGTTGGGGGCAGGGGCAGGAGGAGGGCGAGGGAAAGAGGAGACGAGGGGAAGGAGGAATCAGGTAAGCTCATACGCTTGCTGAGAGAAGATGCCCCAGGCTGTGATGGTTCTTGAAATGCGGTCCTTCTCGTTATTGTATTGCGCGCTCTTAGCAAATAAGTCTAGTCTATCCGCAAGCGCTAGAGCGTGAGACCACATTGTCCAGCCCATTTTGTCCATGCCATTGGCGAAGTATATTCGGCCTATGATGGTAGCTGCCTGGGCAGACGGAAGACTACACACGGCTTGTGACTGTTCCAGCTCCCATAGCTGTCTGGTCTCAGCCATACACCGATAGCTATAGGTGTTGGGGTTCCAAAACTCGGACCTCTGCCCAAGCGTACTCAAGCCGTGCTGTCGATCGTGTCAGCTCACAAGGAAGCAAGTGGGAGAAGCCAAGATGGAACCTACACAGGCTGCGGTGAGAATAGCGCTGACTAGGAGTGGTGAACAGTAATCAGACCTTCCAGCAGTCATGTCATCGAGAAAGTGATCTTTGTGGAAGCAAGGCCACAATGGAAACTCGTACAGGAAGTAGCCTTCGAGAAGGCGGGTGAGGAAGACGTCGTCGTCGCTTATCGAAGTCCACTTGGATGGCCTCAGCGTGTCTGGCGACATGCGTGGATCGTACATGCGGGCGCCGGGATAGGGCACGTGGTAGATAGCGCTGTGGGTCTGCTCCTGGATGTCGGTGCCGTGATGGGCAGTCTCGTTTGACAGGGCCTTGTACAGTCTGGAGGCAAGGTAGGGGTTGTCGGCACCGCCAAAGAGCGGCATCATGTCAGCAAGATAGGGAGCGGTGAACTGGTATGTCGTGTCTGGGACCAGCTTGAGCTGGACACGCAGACTGCCATACTCAAGGAAACGGAGGAGGCTGCGCTCGTCGGTGCCGCGACGCAGCTGGGCGAGGAGGTCCTGGGCGACGTGCCATGGCTGGGAGCGCAGATGGGCGAAGATGTGCCGGAGGAGGGCATGCTGGGGGTGATGGTGTGCGTGGACCTGGACCTGGCCATGGTATCGCCTGGCACTGGCAGCAACGGGCCGGACCGCAGGCTGAAGGTAGTTGCATGGCGTATGCCGCTTGCGGCACTCTGAGCACTGGGGACGTTCGGTCGAGCACTGGTCGTGTCAGAGGTCTGGGTGGGTTTAGCTCGCGCACGGCCGCCGACTTACCTTGGTGATGCGGCCGCGACAAGCTTCACATGCTCCTGCGCCCACAATCCGCTGCAGACTCAACGCAGGCCGCGCCCGAGATAACGCCGCGCGCTGGGTGAGCTGCGAGCGGGCTGGAGGCAGGTTCTCGTCCATGGGCAGTAGCTGGCTCACCTGTCAGGCAGATACGCGATTCGGGTCGTGGCCGCGCCGTCTTGAATATTGCTATTATACTGCACGTGGGTGGTGCAGGGCTCGCGCACCTCGACCTCCCTCCTCGCCTACGTACGTGCCTGCCTGCTCGTACACAACATGACGTCGCCCGCCTCGACGCCCATTGGCCACGGCACAAAGCGCCTTCCTCTAATAGGCGCCCTCCTCGTCTCGAAAACTACCCGATTCTGGCTTATAATGGTCAACGCGTAAAGGTTGTCTGCCGGAATGCTCCCCCGTTCCGTCACCACGACGCAGCTGCTACTCCGATAAGGACTGCACTCGTAACTCCACGCTACGACATCTAGGCGGACCGTCGTCTCCGCCTCAGTCTTTCCCTCTACCTCCGCCTCTGCGCACGTGCTTCGCCCCTTCTCCCAGCACTTGCAGGTGGTCACGTCCGAGTGAATGGACAACGGCCGCTACCCGCCCGAGGGCTCCAGCTCCAGGGAGGCAAAGGTAGCCATACCAAGAATTCCTGGCCATGGATACCAGATGCCGCCTGCCACAAGAACTCCTCGGGTCCGCACCGAAGTAGTGAGCAAGGCTGTGAGTAAACTCTCTTGTACGATTGGGCCGGTGCTGACGTCCGCTTCTAGTGCACGCAGTGCCGTAAACGAAGTGGGCCCTTCCTCATGTCTAGATCGCACAACTTCGGCTTGCTGACTAGCCCCAGAGATCAAATGCTCTGGCCACCGTCCGCAATGTATCAACTGTCAACGGCAGGACAATGATTGTCACTACGACCTGGAGCGCAAGGACCGCCTCAAAGGGTTTGTTCATGTCTTTGTTCATCTGCTCCACATCCCCGTCTGACTATCAAAAGAGCTCAACGCAAATCGCACGCCTTGACTGCACTCTTGATTGAAGTGAGCAGCCAGCTTGACGATGAGAGCAAGAAGAGAGTTGAGGATACCTTGGCATCTTTCGAAGACGACACGCCGCCTCCTCCACCAACACCTGCTCTCTCTCATGGCAAGCGCGCAAGAAGAGCTTCGTCACCTTCCCCCAATGACGATGCTCTGAGCGCCACCTCTGTAGATGGCGGAGAAGCTCACGTCTCAGCTTCAGTCGGCTCCAACGAAGATCTAGACTTCGTCCAAGAGGACATTCTCAATACGGATGAGGCAGACAACACGGGCTACATGGGTCACAATTCGCACGTTCAGTGGCTCAGAGCCCTGGAAACCAAGATCGAACAGCCCGAGGGCGAACCTGCCAACATGCCCTACGGGCCACCGGGCGTCGACGGCGACGCCTTTAACCAGCGTGCTGAAGCGCTTCACGGGCGTCAGCAACAGAGCCATACTCGCCCTTCTCCGCACCATGACAAATTTTCTGGCTACTACTTTTACCTTGACAAATCCAGCATCGACATCGATGTTGGTGATCCACACGTCATACCCTCTGCTGAGTCGGCTGAGAGGCTGTTCGACTACTACAAAGCAGTTGTGCATAGTCCATTCCCCATTTTAGGTGACATGTTCGAAGCTCAACTGAAAACGTACTTTGCCAAGGATCAGGGTAGTCCTACGCTGGTCGTCTGCCCAAAGTGGAAAGCTGTTATGAACCTCGTATTCGCTATTGGCGCACGCTATTCTCATCTCATCGGCGCCGAATGGCAAGCCGACGATCGTGATCACTTAGTGTATATGTGGAGAGCAATCCATCTATTGCAGCTCCAAAGCATTGATACTCTCGTTGCGCAGCCAGATCAAGCGCTGATTCAGGTAAGATCCATTGAATTTGGACCCAACATCTTTTGACCCATGTCTAGGCATTTGGGCTTCTGTCTTTCTACTACTTGACAATAGGTCATGTCAGCAGGTACGTCGTATTTCGGATGAACGAAGGCACATTCACCTTTGTAGCCTGTAAGTATGCTAACAAGGGACGTTGCAGAGCTTGGTACATGATTGGCATCGCCCTTCGACACGCACAGGCCGCAGGCTTGCACCTCAGACACGAAGACCCTTCCATGTCTCCCAAGAGAAAGAAGGCCCTGGCCCAGATTTGGTGGTCACTTTACTCCATCGAATGTGTTCTTACTTGCATAACTGGGCGCCCACGCACAGTAAGCGCCATTGACTGCACTGTACCGCCACCAGGCGCAAAGGGTACAGAACTGGATTCATCATCTCGCGAAACCACCACATCAGCTGCAATCAGGCAGGCATCTGAGTCTTCTGCGGGCGAGTCCATGATCAAAACCAGCGTCGATCCGTTTGACGTAGCCTACGTTAGGATCGACATCCTCATGGACAAGATTTTGTCTGGCTTGTATTCCGCCCAAAAGTCTGCCAAGTCCTGGAAGTCTGCCCAAAAGGAGATTGCTTCGCTATCTGACGATTTAGAAGCCTGGGCCTTGCACTCCCTGGTTCGGGGTCCAGCAACAGCGACTGCTGCCACTTCAGAGAGCAACCTGAGCCGAGAGCAGGTGCTGCTCTACATCTATTACCACAACGCCAAGATTTGCATCACCCGGCCCTGTCTATGCCGGCTAGACCTGCGCATAAAGGGCCAGAGCGAACAGTCGACTCGATTCAACCAGAAGTCTGCTGAGGCCTGCATAGGTGCAGCTCTAGATCTCACTTCCATGTTGCCAGATCCTCCCAACCCTGCGTGGTTTTACGGACACGGTCCGTGGTGGTGTGCTGTTCATATAAGTAAGAACCTCACACATTGCGATATGGGGCTTGGCTAACCACCTCTATAGTCATGCAAGCCCTTACGGTCTTACTTCTTGAGTTGTCATTGGACGGCATACACCTAACGGTCGAAAAGTCACACATTACAGCTTGCATCGATAAGCTCATACGATGGTTGAATTCGATGAAACCCGTCGACGCAGTCAGCGAGAACGCATACAATGTTATCGCCAGAGTCATGAATAAGCAGACTAAAGAAGAGGCGGCCCGTCGTCGACTACCTCAGCCACAAATGACGGATCAGCACCAAAAGCAGCAAGATATAGAGCATATGACCTTTGACTCACAGCAGCGATATCAGCCGTACAGTCAACCTCTTACGTTGCAGCAGTCAGATGTTGCATGGCCAAGCGCTGACCCATTCAATAGCAACATCTACTCGCAGTCCAACGCAGGCAACTTCGATCTCTACAACGCTCCTGGCGGCGATATTTTGAACGATCCCACCACTGGGCTAACAGAATACGGTCAGCCTCTGAATCTGTTCTATGGAAATCCCTACGAATCGACTTTCGATCACTGGGAATGGGATCCAGCGGCTTTCCAGGATCCAGATCAGCAAGGTTATCCAGGATATGAAGGGTATGATCCAGGTGGTGGCTAGATGTGTCGCGTACACTCGCCAGCACTGTGGATGAAAGAGGTATGAACATTGCGCCTTCAAGGACATGCGTTCAGAACAAAATATAGAATGACAGCGGCATGTCTGAGCAATCAGCTATCCCAGTCTCGTTGTACAACACCCCAAAAAGCATGTAGTATACCACATAATTGCTGTGTACACTACTGTACCAGGATTGCCGTTACTCCTGCAGCCGTTGACTGTGTCCCATATTGCTGCTGTTTTCTACCTTAGCATAAGTGCGGTTTCATGAGACTCCTTGCGCTTCATCTTTGATATGATACTCATCACGGCGAGGTAAGCCCCATATTCCATGCCAGGGTGAAGTTGTATAATTGCATTTCTAATGTTGGTAACGATATGCTAGACCCGAAGCACATACTGGCAGTAGTAGAACATTTAAAGTTCACAAGCTTCCACGTTGTACATACCCTGAACAACCTGACAGTTCTTCCCATATCGCTCCAGCGCATCCCTCACTGCATCTTCCAACTGCATGATCCCCACACCAACGAGCTCATTCTGAACAGTCCTCTCCAAGTCCTCCGCATGGCCTTCATCTTCGCTCTCATAAAACTGGTTACACACACCCAACCCCTTCATCGCTTTACCCATCTGCGCTTTTCCTTCCTCCTGCTCACCGCCTTGCTTCCACTTCTCCAATACAACTAAAGCGTTTCGGTGGATTTTGTCCACGTCGACGTGCGAGATGGTGAAGGTGGTATGAAGAACCTTTTCAAGGGTGCGCAACAGTGTGTGTTGAGTGACGGTAGAGAAAGGGAAAATGGGGTCGAGGAGGACGGGGCGGTTGAGGATGGGGTCGGGGTTGCGGAGCATGTTTCCTGCTGCGAGGCCCATTGTGGGTAGGGGTGTCCAGTGTAAGGGTTGGTTTCCGGAGCCGTAGATGCGGGCGCGGCGGTTGGGTATGTCTGGTCATCATATGTTAGCGGGATGGTGATGGTTTGTGGTTGATAGGGAAAATATTACCGAAGCCTGCGGGGCCTTTCATCAACCCTATCATGTGATGGTCAGTACCGCTCTTCCAGATACAACGTCAGGGCATCGTTAGAAACCAACATACACATATCGAAGAACGGCCCACCGTTCAAACTCGTCCACGCCATCTTCCCCTCCCTCCCCAATCCCTCCAGATACTCCCTGATCCTACATTTACCGCCAACAAAAGCTTCCGGTAGTCTCCTGAACGCCTCCCGGGTGATCTCTCCGACGAATTCGTTGGCGAAGAAGAGTTTGACGCCTGCAGCGACCGCGGCGTCGATGATGAGTTTGGATGGCTCGTAATGCGTAGCTCCGCCTGTGATGCAGTTTACTACTGCGTCTTGGTTCTGGAATGCGGCTTGGAGGGAGGAGAAAGACGTGTAGTCGACAGTGCGGTGGGTGATGGTAGGAGGTGGTTTGTAAGTTGATGCTGAGCGCGTGATGCCTGTGATGGAGAAGCGGGATCCGTCTTTGAGGAGTTCGGTTATGATGGCGTTTCCGACGTTTCCTCCTGGCTGTTATATGTGTTAGTGCGGAGTCTTGCACAACAGTTCGGACGAGTAGGCATACCCCGAGGATTACGATATTCTTCAGTTCCATTTCGATGTTTGGTTTGCGATTAGTATGGACGGGTGTGGGATCCTTGATGCTGGGTTTCAATGATGAAGTTCGATACTACATTCCATGAGACTACAGAATCTTATATAAATATCTATGCAATGTGAAGTGCTTGTCCAAAAGTCACCAGAGCTTCCAGAGCGGACGCCACGAAACCATCGATACATGCATTTCGCTCATCTCGTACGTTTCTGAGGTTCTTGGAAGGCCAGGCTGAAGTAGGCAGCCATTTGTATGTTTGCCTTGCAGCTGCCTGATGTTGGAAGGCGTTCGGCGTGAGTCTGGAAGCTGCATCCTTCGGTTCGGAGGATGAGAGACCGCCGATGCGCCAATATGACGCTTGGCTTGTTTAGTGTTGGTGCCCATAAAAGTGGTTAGCTCACTCACGTGTTTTGTCGGCGTTTGAACTTGAACAAGCTGGCAGGGTCAAATGCCGAGCGCGTTCTATACTCGTGGCATCATTGAGCGCGAAGCAGTCGCGAAATTGAAGCGTGGTAGAACAAAGTAAATAGAAGCTTTTCAACTGCGAGGAATTTTTGGGCAGACACTTGAGCCTGTTGTCGGATAATATCATTGCTGCATGTGCTTTGGAAGTGACGATGGCGGGGCAGCCGAGGCCGTGATGGTGGGGTTGCATCATCTCTCTCAATACACAAATATTTGTAGCAACACAATACTTGGGATAGCAAATTGGCATGCTGCCAATTTAGCGGAGTAAATTACCACACTCGATGTTGCAATCAAATAGGTTCGGTCCGAGATAGGCCGCGTTAAGCAGCGCCGTTGGTGGATCTGGCAGCACGTAATAAAAGGTTACCAAACGCCGCTGCGCTCAAGATAACATTAACCGGCAGCTATTTCGTCTCGACCCCTCCATTCCACCAGAGTACTCAATCGCCCTTCAAACTCCTTCGCATATCGCCTATCCACCATGTCGCAACGAGCAGCACTTCTTATCGGCAAGCTGTCACACGCCCAAAAAGAATGGCAGCAGGTTTCGCAAGTAGCATCGAAGCTGCATGAGTACCCCGATGGTAACCGAGAAGACTTCCTCTCAAAGTGCAAGAGCGGTGAATTTGACGGCATCTATGCTCTCTACCGAAGCAACGACTCGAATCCGATTACCGGAGATTTCAACGCGGAACTGCTTGACGCTCTCCCCAAGAGCCTGAAGTACGTTTGCCACAACGGAGCGGGATACAACAACATCGATGTCGCAGCATGCACAAAGAGGGGAATTTCAGTTTCGAGCACGCCGATAGCGGTCAACGACGCGACTGCAGATGTTGCCATATGGCTCATGCTAGGCGCACTGCGGAATATCAAGCAGGCATACATGGCAGTCAACAACGGTTTGTTCCTCCAACTGTTCGATGAACCGCTACTAACATATTGCACAGGCAAATGGCGCGGTAACTTCTCCCTCGGTCACGATCCCAAGAACAAGACACTCGGTATCCTAGGCATGGGTGGCATCGGTTCGGCAGTTGCACATCGCGCAAAGGCATTCGGCATGAAGATACAATACCACAACCGCAATCAGCTACCAGCCAACGAGGAGAACGGAGCAAAGTACGTGAGCTTCGAGGAACTGCTGAAGACATCCGATGTCCTTAGTTTGAACTTGGCGCTCAACCCGTCGACAACGCACATCATTGGCAAGGACCAGTTCAACACAATGAAGGACGGGGTGATAATCGTCAACACTGCACGAGGTGCTTTGATTGATGAGGCCGCTTTGGTGGACGCGCTGAAGAGCGGCAAGGTCTGGACATGTGGACTGGACGTGTTTGAGGAGGAGCCGAAGATCCACCCCGGACTACTGGAATGCGAGAGGGCGGTGTTGCTGCCTCACGTTGGAACCGGCACATACGAGACACAGGTAAGTGACGCTGTCCATGCATCTCATTGACTATGAACTACAACTGACGGCTTTCAGCGCGACATGGAAATATTGGTCTTGGATAACTTGAAGTCGGCTATCCAGAGCGATAAGCTGTTGACGCAAGTACCCGAACAGAAGGGCAAGGCAAACTTGTGATTGATCGTCTGGACGATCGGTCTTCGAAGAGGAAACATATGTACTCAGTTTGGTAATCAAGAAATGATGAAAATCAGCCTACAGCTATCCTTCTGCATGAAGCGAACTTGACATGACTATAACCAAAAAGCTTCGTGTATTGCCGTTTACACAGTCCCGACACGCTCTATGCCAGGCCGCATGTCGGCTTAAGGAACATAGGACGCAGCGTCGGAGCCGGCCACTTGGCTCGGCATATGGATTGCTTAGCGATTAGGCCAATGAGAAGCTTGTCGCAATTTCAATCGCCTAGCTTCCGTGCGGAGGCTGGATGTGGAGGAGGAAAACCTGGGGTCGGTCTTTGAAGGAATGTGGAGAAGAAGGGGAACTGTAAGAGTAAATCTGGAGTCGGTCTTTGCATCGTGAGAATATCGCACGTTCGAGAAATCGTCGGCTGCTGTTTGGGTTCTTCACATGCACAAGACGAGCTCACCGCCCGTAAGCAACGCTAAGCATGGGCCTAGTCTGGCACCCGACATCTCCAGGGCTTTGCACGTGAACACGTCCGCACATTCGATTCCTTCAGAAACTGCATCTGCGCTGCACAGTCAGCGACTCATCCCGTCCGTTAGTCCTGCAGCCGTTTGACTCGTTTACTCATACTGCAGCTGTAGGATTCACAGCAAGAGCCTCAACACAATCGCAGCAACGGCGTTTGAATGGAAGGATAATTACCACCCGCCATGCCGACCCACCAGCTATGGGGCGCTCCGCCCTGTGACTGGCACATCTGGAGTCCCCACGATACGTCCCCACGTCATTCTCCCCGACGTCGCGTTACACTATGCCGACAGCCAAGCCAAATGGGCTTCGCCTTTTGCCTGCGGGTTTTGGGTTCGGAGTTTGGCTAGCTAGGCGCTGCGAGGCTGGTGCTGGGGAAACTGACGATATATAGTCGGATGCTTGCCGCGATGTTACCTTACCTAGGTACACTGACAGATCGACATCATTGTCTTTGACCGCTCGTCGCATCGCCATCGCATTCGCGTCGGGCTTTTCTTCTGTCATATTTGGCTTCCTTTGCGACGCGCTGCCATCATGGCCAAGCTCAACATGTCCGAGGTGTGGGCGGACATCAAGACGTACCGTCGCGCCTATGTACTGACCGCTGTGGCTTCTTTTGGTGGAATGCTGTTCGGTTGGGACACAGGTCTTATCGGAGGTATGTGTGCGCATTCGCACGTGAAATGATCATGGCTAACGCGCTTGTAGGTGTATTGACGATGGACGCGTTCCAGCACTCATTCGCCCTAGATAAGGACAGCAAAGACTTTGCCAATCTGCA